GTTACATGGCCTTGGTTAAAACTTGAAGGCTCGTCTTCTGAAAGGCCAGTTACGGAGCTACCGTGGCGAGGGGCCAGGCACCACCCGCTGCTTACGGCAGGGAACTGAACTAAAACTGCTTGAAAAACCCGACCCGCACAACTGCTTCCACTTGCAGAGCAGAGCTCAGACACACAGACGTGCACGACCACGCTGCCCTTCCCAGTGCAAGATCATCATCGTTGGAAGCCATCCCCTGCTTCCACAGCATCGACAGCAGAGCTGGATCGACTTTTGTACCTGCGTTTGGAAGCTGGCTTGCACGAGCAAATTACAGCCCGGTAACAACCCATCCGGAGGAACAGACGTTAGCAAGCCAGGGCAACTAAAATCCGCTGCTATGGTTTTGAGCAGAAGCGTAACAAAACCGGCCATGGCTCCTGGAGCAGCAACAGCTTTTGTTTTTATCAGGAAGTTAATTAATTGCCCAGGGTTCTGATCCATATTTTTCTTTTGCTTGTTCATGAGTTTCAGACTACCAGCCCAGCAAAAAACCGCTTACACTGCATTGTTGGATGCCTGCCCACAGAAATCAGTCGCTTTTTATCAGCTTTTCCCATTAATTATGCTTGGATACCAATTAAACACATGTCTGAAAAACTACCAGCTAAAAAACTTGATCAAAATCAGGGTGCCTGCAGAGCTTCAATCGGGTTTTGGTTTTCCTCCCTCTTTATTTTGCACTTTCTTTAATTGGAAATACTACACATGTTTACACAAACATTCTCACCCTGCAGACATGCAAACCTTTCACAAAATATTACCGGACGACTAGATGGAGAATGGTGAACGAGGTGGCAGATACATGGCGGACGAGCAATGGAGAGGCGAGGCGCTGAAGGCATGCAGGAAGAGGTGGGAGCATGCGTATGCAGGGTTAGGCTAGCACTGGGTTAACGAGTTCTGAAGTTTGGTTAGCAAGGAAAACCAGAAGCCTGTTGAATCTGTGTATGACGCACGAAAATCACACTTGGGATGGCTAACGGAGACTGGTTGCGTGCCACCTGAAGACAGGCGGGACCAAAGCAGTAGTCAAAAGAGCCCCTACGCTTCTGTATTTGACAACTGCTTTACAAGGTCGAAGACTCCATGTCCCACAGGCCAGATCTGGGGTTTTAGACAAAGCCATTTCTGAAATTTGAAGCGTCTTGATTTTCCTAGCAGAAAGTGTACACAGGACTGAACCACGGTATGGACACCCTCTCACCGGGAACGGCTGCAACGTCGCTTTCAAACGAAGAGCGAGACCCAATTTTAAAGATTGCCTAAAGCTGATTTATTCTACGTTAGAAATTTTTGATCAGCTAAAAATAGCGAGGCTTTACACAAATTCAACAAGTAAACTCAGCGTGGATTTTATTACAATGGGATGGAGATAAGGCCCAAGCTCACCTTGGACGTCTTCTTCTCCACCATCACCATCCTCTTCCTCATTGTAAGCCAGCTCAGCCTGTTTGTCTGCCTCATACTCACCCACGTTACCATCATCCCCATTATAATCTGCCAGTTTAGAACCCTGCTGCGGATCAACAGGGGATTCATTCTCATCAAAGAATCGGCCTGTGAAGTAGGCAAAGGATTAAGTCAGAAGCAGAGAGGAAAGGAACAGGAAGATTCTAACCGAAAGCAGCCCGCGGGTGAAGACAGTCGGGCGTTTGTAGGAGTTTCAGCTGCAGGAGAAGGGGTAGAAGGGAGAGGGCTCGGGCAGGGGGAGAACAAGGCTTATGGAACACCCCTGTGCAGAAAGGACGTCCTCGGTCATTCCGCATTTGGATCTTGCAAGATCTGACTGCTACAAGCTTCGCTCTTTGGAGAAAAGCGCTGGAGTAAGCATCCCAACAAGCAGCTCCATGTCTGATTACCTACAAATGCTAATAAAAGTTCTCTTAAAATGTTGAGGAGCATACAGTGGAAGCTTCTGTATCCAGACCTTTTCCTGAGGAGGACCAGCATTTTTGGACGCACAACGGAGCGATACATCGCTGACTGCGCATACGGCAACGTCAGCACCGTGCTGTCAAGGGTAACAACCCAGCAAAGATCTGCCTTGCAGCTCTGAACTGGATTTTTTAGCCACCTAATTAATTGGCTTTACACTCTGGTTTCCTATTAAGCTTTAACAGTTTTCCAAATGTTCTGAATCTGGTATTTTTGTCTCCCAGCAAAGGATTAAGAATAGTTCCAGATACTGAGACAATGCACAAGAAAAGCGAGAATTAGCTGGAACTATGAAATGACTACGGACAGCCAGCCACGCACACCGTGAGAGATTAATGGTGCCGCGTCACGCTCAGAGCTGGTGTTTAATGGGATACAAGGAGATCGGGTCCAGGCCAGTGCAGTTCAGTCTGCCTGCCCATTGCTTAAAGAATGCAACACCGAGCCTGCAGAGGATACAACCCCCAGCATTACAGCAGGATACCATCTTTACAGACTGGGAATGGACTGAGAGAAAAAAAAAAAGTCTGCCAAGGCAGATGTTAAGTGCTTCGCAGTGGAAGCAATTACCAGGGAAGTAAAACTGAAGAATAGGATTTCAACATTAGGATTAAAAAGGAGGCTGGGGTTACAGTGAACAGATATAAAAATGAAATTATTTCTTAAAACAATGAAAACTATCACATGGGGCAGTACATAAAAATCAGGACAGAAACAATAACACAGGGCTTAGCTGGATGGGGGGAAAAGCAGAAGAGTCCCATCCAGTGCGGCTCAGGTGTACAGAAAGTTCCAGTTGTTTTCATAAAATAAGCAAGAAGAAACTATGATCTCTTTAGAAATCAGAAGTTGAATGTATTATTCATTCCCTATTCGTGTCTACTTGAGTAATCCTTGCTATCATTTATTTTTTGCATTTTTGGACACCGCGTTGTATATCAAAAACAGGCAGAGGTGTACAATTAGCGCGTGTTAAATACAAACCAAGCTATGGAAAAGCAACTGAATGCACTTAACGTATAGAAAAAACGAGCCTGTAGGTATGCCAGAAATACCGTGACAAACAAGTACTGAATACATTTAAGCTGACAGAAGGGAAGGTTAAAATGTTAGAAGGAGACCCTGGGAAACACAGCAAGGCCATACAGGCCTGCGAGCGGGAGCGAGCCGGAGCAGCCCAGCGCACAGGACAGCCCCGGCGAGCTCGGCCTCCAGCACAGCTTCAGGACGCAGCTACTCTTGCGCTGCAGTGGGTCCTTCATTCTGCTGGGCGCGCTTGGTGTTTTAGCTCAAGCTACTTCAGGTGAGGGGAGGAAAGGCTGCGAGCCTGGGCACACACAAACCTCGCCGGCAGTCGTTTTGGGCTAGGCGGTCTTGACAGCACCTCCGCTGCCCATGCGTGCGGGGTCGGGTGTACAAAAGGTTTAGGCAGCAGATGATTCTTGCACCGCACCAGGAGAACATCGGGGCTCTAACAGAAGGCACAGTAATGGTCTGGGGATACCAAGACTTTAGGCAAACACCAGAACAGGAGTCGCTGGTAGCTGGAGCCAGCGACGCACCGAGCGCTTCCTGAAACAGACGGACAAGATCTGGAATCCTGACGGCATCGCGCATCTTTCAAATCCCTCCAAGCGTCAGTCGGTGTCCGTACCACAGGCATTACACGGACTGACTACGGGAGGCACAGAGGAACGTCTTGCCATGAAGCTCAGAAGGTCTGTGACAGCACGGGATGCCCTGTAAGGGTGTCACTGATGCCAAAATCTGCAGGTAACGCTTGCCAACATGAATTCTGAGCAGATGTAGGGGGTCCTTGCTACTCAAAGCTGGATCCTTACACACGCTCGGAGCAGCTATCCGCACGCTCATCACTAAGGACCTACTTACAGGGCAGCTTTAAACAGCAGCGTGGACTGGAGGTTTGCTGCACCCAGGGGTTTTTCCAGAGTGCCAGGTAAGAGCACAAACCACAACGATGCTGCAGCCACTTTCAGGTTCTGCTTCTTTTGAACGGCCGCGACGTGCCCATCTCTCTACCTAGTACCAAAGTTCCTTTTTAAATCTATGCTATCAAAATAAAAAAAGGAAAACATCTTTTGGGAAGAAGTTCCCCAATTCTGAAACTGGACAAATATGGCAGACGCCCTGACCAGTGATGGTTACTTGTCTCGTCCCAGGGGCTGATACACAGCAAGTTTTGAAGCGCTCAGTAACCAAAACCCCAGCCAGGGAACTGTCTGCACTGAGAGCTGTGTGCCCGAGCTGGGCTCCTCTACACCAGAGAGGTGAGTTTATCCCCAGGGGACCTTTCAGAACACCCGCTGCTGGTCAGTCAGGAAATAATCTTCTACAAACCTGCATTATAGCTATTTCTCCATACATGACAGATGAATTCTCTTCCTCATTGCATCACGACAACGTACAATGTAAGTTACTCCCAATAAGAAGGAGCAAAGACTAACCAGCGATGACTACCAACTCGTAGGTACCCATGCAGAGCCTACCACGGAGACACTTCATTCCCTGCTCCTGCCTACGGGGCCAGCCCCCCCATCACTTAATCCATCACCAGGGAAGACAGCCAATCCATTTACAGACCCCCACCACAGAAATACGAAGCTCTGTCATTTCAGCTGTAGTCACTCAGCCCGACAAGTGCAGGATCTTCAAGAAGCTCCTTTGATAACCCAAACTGTCTTGCACATGTCGGGACAGACTCGGGAAGAACAGCTTGCACAGGCTGCATGCCAGTTTTGGATACACCTATCCCCCTTCATCAGAAAGATCCATGAGGGATATTAAAATAACCAAAGCCTTCCCTAAAGATCTGTTCCTAAAAAACTCCATTGAATTGATGGCCATTTCCTACCTCTTCAGCCCTGGGCTTTTTAGAGCTTTTTTTCCCCCCCCTCATACTAAACTTTATTTTTTTTCTTTCCCCCTGAATTCCTTCCAGCTTCCCATCATCTTTCTGTGCTATTTAAAGCCAGAGGATGGCCTCACAAGCACCAGGTAAAACAGAGTCAGTTACTCCATCGTATTATCTGGCATTGCTGTTAACACACCCCAGAAGAAAAACCTCACTTCAAACATTTGTGAGCGACTCTCATCCACGGCTGACCACATCGGTTTTGGCCAAACTGCTCTCTCGCTGTTTGTCACTGTATGTAATTCTCCTTCTTAATTGCAGACTACTTCTACGTTTACAAACTTGTATGTTGCTGAAACCACATCCCAGACATCGTTTACCACCCAGCACTCACAATACCAAACAGGGCTGAGCAAAGGATGCGTCTTTGTAAACTTCACAGCAGCTTTCCAAATAAAAGCGTTACCAATACCTATGCCTGGAATATTCTTAAAGTTGCACACCCACCGAATAGCAATGTATTCCTGACCTGGTCTGCATTAATTTGCCTACGACAAAGTCACATTCCTGGTTTCACCTCGTTCCTTTCAGTACGTACTTTTCAGATCGTATCGCTGTGACACAACCTGTTCTTGAAAAATCCACATTAACCACGTGTCATATTACGTTCGAACCGATTGAGAATCTTTTCAGTTACCTTTCCGGGTACCAAAGCTTGGCTGCTGGGTCTCTAGGACTCCTCAAATCCCTTTTCCATTCACTTTTTAAAGACATGTCTTCCTGTGGGATGACAGTACCTCTCTCAAAGTTACTAAGGGTTCAGAAGCCCCTCCAGGGAGCTGCTTATCCCGCCCGGAGAAGAGCTGGTGCTAGCCCAGACCCTCTGGGGGGCTGCAAGGGGGCAGGGGGAGAAGGAGAGCAGACACTGAGCTCCAACGTCCCCGTACACCCCTCTAGGCCAACTCACACCCTACAGCTATCTGCTAGTAAAGCTAAATGCTCACAGGCCCCGTTTTAATTTAACCTCTGCTTCAGAATAGCAACTGAACCATTTCACAAGAATAAATGGAGTATTAAAGTTAATTCTCCATTATTCAAGGAATATTTAAGAGATTGCGAGAAGTTAACTTTTTTTTTTCCTGCAATTTCTCCAAGCTACAGAAGTGCCAGTCAAGTTCTAGACCGTGAAAAGAAATTGCAGCGACTTAACTCCATCAAAGGGAACTTTCCAAACTAAACCTTTTAGGCAAAAATGAATTTATTGTTTCATGTTCCCGAGAGTGACCCCAGCTTTCAGAATTCTTTCCATTGATCACTGAAGCCAATTAATTATTTCATTTCAACAAAATTGCTATTTCTATACCACTGTTTATCGGAGCCACAGAAGTACACAGGTTTCTGGCAGGAAGCTATAGAATCCTTTTTCCCCTCCCAATTTTCATGACTCTGAAAATGGCTGCTCGATGTCTGAACTTGTCAACTTGGAGTACAGATAGATTTTAATCACAGAAACCAAAGCCTAAGTGAAAGCTACCTAGCTGGGAGTACAAAGAAATTTTGACTTGAATTTATAACCGCTATATAACAAAGAAAAATCTTACTTGGGTAAAAAACAAGAGGAGATGTTTCAGCACAATGTTTTTTTCTTCTAGCTATCCCTTCCCTGCCCAAATGCTAAACAAGTGGAATGAGCTCTTGAAAAGTAACTAGGCTAAGGTATGTATCCTCCTACACCAACCTTTGCAGTATAGTATCTCCACTGATACCGTAAGAAGCTTGTTTCAGTATAATGTTCCTACAGGAAAATGCTAAATCAAATGCCATAGGCATAATACTCTCCCAGGGCTACGGTATCAGCGGCAACGCAGAGATGCACCTCAAAGCCAGCAGTTGGCAGAGCACTGTATGTGCACATGCAAGCTCTTGGGCACTGCCTGCCCCAGCGAGCCTCAGCAGTATTCCCACCACCGCACACAGTGAGCAAATACACGGTTTGCTCCTGTCTGAAGGCTCCTTCCTCGAGCAGAGGTGGAAGAGAAGGGTTCTGGAAAACTTCCTCTCTCAGAAGAACGAACTTCTGGCCGATACACATATTCCACCACCAAGACCCCCTAGGAAGGGCTGAATCCTTACGATATTGTCCAAAACATCGCGTTTAAGTCAAGTGATAGAGTGTGAAGATAAGCAGCTCAGTATCATGCACGTATCAAGTCTTGACTTAACCTATTTACACGTGTAGTGATTTCTAGAAGCATTTTAAATTCCTATAAGCAAATAATTTTTTGTAACGACTGAATACATAGATGAAAGATGACACATTAATGCATATGTTTTACACAGAACCATGCTATGTTTCTTTTCACGCTTACTCCCCCGAAGGCCACCCGCTGTAATGGTTCCTGTTTTCCAGACAGCACTATTCCAGATAGAAAGTGAAGTGATTTTTCTTAATGTATTGAAATATGTGATACTGGCCAACTTACTTTGCTTCATCTTCTGCAAGTCACTCACTCTGCTCTTTGGAATTTTTATATGGTCTGTCTCAATTTTGTGTTCTTCCTGATTTTCCATATTTTCTTCAAAATTTAAGTGCTGGAGAGAATTTGGAGGTATCTGCTTCGCAAGGTCAGCATTTCCATCATCGTCACTGTGCAAACCTACAGAACAAGCAAATGTGTTCAGTTTTTACACGGTTCTAAAAGAAGGCTATAACGTTACCGCAAAAGACAATTAATCACATTTTAATACGTAATCAATCCCAAGTCATTACCTTCTCAGCTGATTTTCTGTATGTACTTAAGGGCTTGATGAAGCCCAGAACAATATGTTCATGTATTTTTGTTACCCTCCTGCTGATTCTGCTTTTCAAATCTACTAAGCATCATTTATTGTTTCAAGAGCTACGATCTGAGGAGAAGGTTGCAGTAGGTCACAGAAGTTATGCTAAAAATAAGCGGAATCACAGGACTACATAACCACAGAACAGAGAAAACCCTGGTCCCCTTGAAATCCTCATCAGCCTTCTGTTGATAAGCTCTAAATTCAACAAAGCAAGCCTTTCGCTTGCCATCTTCTGTGCTTTCTCATTAATAAAAGTCAAAATGAAAGACTACCTCAGAACAACAAAAAGAAATGAACTATTTAAAATACCTGACATTTGGAAATAATAAACTTTAAATGTGGATACAGACGGTGAGCTCACTAATTTTGGTATTTGAATCTGCTGACACATCCGCTGCAAGAGGAAAGAAATTAAGAAATGCTTCTGTGGCCTTTTTTCAGAAGAGCCAGTAATGGGCGTAACAAAAAACTTCAAGCTGTTTGGTCGTGTCAGAAATATATAACAATGTTATATTTACGGTTATTTATGTTATATTTAATGGGTTTTAGCAGGACAGTATTTGAACACGCCACTTGCAGTGCAGGTATAACCCAATGTTCTCTTTGGCATTAAAGCAAAGTGACTTGATCCACGAGCTTTAAAGTAGATTTTCTATGGATTTGTGCCCTTCCTGACTGCAATTCTTCTAAACCCTTTCACTGCAGTACTTTCAGTTCTCTCATGTCCTAAACCTCCCCCACATCACCCAAGTGAGCTGTTCACAGAAATAGAAGGACACTGAGCAAGTGATAGTACTGCTGTTTAATCTCCAAATATAACTGGCTACCAACAGATCAACAATCAACTCGATGATACGTTGCAACCCTAATTAGTACCCCTAAGGAAAAGTACGAATTTAAATTGCTCTCCTCTGTCCAGCAGAGAAATCTTGAAGCACTTCCCTTTGAAACTTTTTACTCTCAAATTTGGCTTAAGTTGGTCAAAAAGCTCAGAAATGACTGGGTGGGGGCGGGGGGGCAAAAAGCGCTCGTAGAACCAGCAACCTCGGGGCCTCAGGAGGCCAGGCTAAGAATAGCCTCAGTCTTGTACCCTGCAGAAACTGATTGTTGTTTTTCTTTTTGTAACCACAGGAAAAAGGGGCTGGCCATGGCCACCTAACATTTATGGTACGGTAGCAGACATCGAACGGTGAGTTTCCTGCAAAATGTTGACTTGTCACCTGCTAATAAGAATTTTACCTGGTGCCAGATTAGGAGCATGGGGCTGTTCAGTTGGAAGATTTATAACAGGCTGATGACCTTCACTTTTAGGAGCTGAAATAAGTGGCTTCTTTAAAGCTAAAATAAAACAAAAGGACAAAAAAAGGATTAACATGAAACAAACGGACACTATATAATACCAGGCCTTCCTCTAACAATCCTATGAACTTTGTTGTTGTTCTCTCGGTTTTAAACCATAGAGGAAAACATGAAATACAAGATTTTGGGGGTAAAAGCGGGGCAGGGCACGTGGGATATATCATCAGAAGCATTCAGTTTTGAGAATTCAAATCTCTAAAGCACAGTAAAAATTATCAGATTTCACACCCCACTTGAGTTTTTAAAACTTTGCATTCACTATGAAACACATGGTATTCCAACAGAATATATACGCCACCAAGAACCCGAATGTGAAAGTATTAGAGTATTTCTCCTAACCAGTGGGAGTATCTTCAGCTTTAGCAGGGTCATTATCTTCTATTTCAGGCATGCCTGCATCTCCTCCTGGTTTGATTTTCTCTGTAAGACAAGAATAGAATATTCTGCCTTATTAAGCTTTAAGACTGAAGAGTGAATTTCCCTCTCTGGAAGGCTCTAAGACCAGAAGAAAAGTCCTTTATCCCCAGAACACATCCCATATTGATAATGCAATTACAACACTCCTTATATTGTACTGTCAAAGTCACCAAAGACCACTTTGGAGCGGTGTTCCTGAAGCGCGCGCAACCTTCAGAAAAGGATGGGAAACAGATGCCCTGCTCTTGGTAGCAGCATAAGAAAAGCGTGCTGCAAGAAGCTGGCCAGAACAGACAGTGAACTGATACAAAAAGGTGCTGATTCAGCAGCACAAGAACTAGAAACAAAGGGAACTCATCCGCCTTTTGGAGAGGCCTACGGGGAGGAAACAGCAGTGAGTTACTCACTGAGAGCCTCCTGTACAGCTCCTGACAGCCAAAGGTCCCCACTGTTCCTGCCAGCTTACCCAGCTAGGGACATCTCACAGGGGTTTCAACGCTCCTCGCCTCCAGCCACCTTCCCTGTGCAGATCCCAGCTCTCCCACAACGTGCCCCTTCCCTAGCTCACCCCAAGACACGTCGCATGGACTGGAGAGGCAGCCCCAGTTCACGACCAGCCACGTGAGGAAGGAGATGCCAAATGAACCAACAAAGTGAACACAAAACTGCAAGAAACTACTTTCATAAAAGGATCCAGAGAAAGGGCACACAGCAATCCCTGGATACCCGTGAACTCTAACTTAGTACAATCACATGCAGCTAATCAAGTTATCTGAGCCAAATAAGTCATTGTTCTGCTTCAGAGAAATGCACGATTCTGTACAAAAGGAAAAGATACACCACAACTGGCCCACTATCTATCAGAAACAACAGGAAAAAAAGGAAATACCTTTGCCATTTACAACGTGATCTGAAGGCTGCTCATTCTTGACGGGGTTTTTGTCATCTGCCTCTGGAACAGTCTTAGATATTGCCTGGTCATCATTATTGGGACTTATTTCAGTGTCTTTACTGGACTGAATTTTTTGTGTGGCCTGTTAGAACAAATTCATAAGGAACCAATATTAAGCACATCACTGAAAATTCCAAAATAAAACCCCTGAAATTCATGACTACATTGGGTAAGCAAAATAGCATTTATAGATTAGATGATCACCAACACAAACAGCAGAAGTCCCCTATGTACAAACCTGAATCCTGAGGGTAGGAGATGAGAGTAAAGGAACAGAAAACACAAAATACAGCACGGCTGTATGACCTTCACATTGGCATTTGTAGCTCAAGTGTAATGCAAACAGGTTAAGGCCTTAAGCCTCACATCAGAGACTTTGAAGCTATTCTGGATTTTAAGAAAGACCCGACTGAAATCTACTTCAAGTGTGCCTTATTATTTGAAATGTTTGTAAACAGAGACGAAGCAAGGAAATGAAATTAAGAAAAGCAGGTTATTTCATCTGTTTGCAGGAAAGAAGCCCATATTCTCCTGGCAGCTTGCACCATATAATTACACCCTTGATGCCTTTCAAATACCATTGTTATTTGCATCACATTAGCACCTTGAGGCCTCTATTGAGATCAGGTTGCCCCTTGCAATAACCTATATAAGGTTGTAAGAACATCGATCCTACCCTGGAGAGCTATAAAGTAATATCCATTTTACAGCGAAGAAACTGAAATCCTTAGCAATGACGTCACGTAGGAAGGCTGAAGGCTGAAGCAGAGCAAAGAATTAAGCCTGATCTTCAAGGCCCAGTTCACTGACTGAGCAAAACAGGCAGATGTTCTTCCACTAATACCCACTTAGGGCTGCTCAGGACGATATTTAACAAAAAGTTAGGGGAGAAGTGGCCAAGGCCTCCATATATCTGAAACGCCGAGTCAAACAAACAGCAGGCTTCAGGCTCTTCTAATTCAAGAAACAAACTTAGCTCCACATTACCTTTTGTTCCCGCACGACTTGGTCCATTAATTTCTTTATGTTTTCTTCATGTTGCAGCCTCATTTCCTTGATCTGCTGCCCACACTGCAGACTTGATTAGAAACACTTTATTAGTTATATTTCATTTGTTGTATCTGCTCTCCCATAAATAAAATAGGGGGAAAAGTATGAAGTGGCACAAAAAGCCAGACCCGAGACATGACTAGAATAGTCTGTCCAAAAAGCCTTGTCCTGGGAATGCGTATGGAGTGGAAATGGACTGAATGCAGAAAGAAAGCAAAACTGGAAAAAATAGAGACAGAGCAGAAAAACAGTAAAATAAACAGAATGGCCTTGAGCATGTTTCCTCCAAAACCTGGAAAGCAACCGAAAAGTCAAGCTTCACAGTTAATCTGTCATCAGCCTATAGGAATTCCACTAGGAAAGCAATGTATCTCCCACGGCTGTCAGCACAGAAGATGCACAACTACTACTGCTACCAGCTTAAGTAACGGGATCTGAATGACACAGGTTAAGTGTCCCAGCTTCTTGAACAAGCCCCACAGAGACCAACCCAATTCAACACAACTCCTGGCACCACAAACCTGCAAATACTCAACATAGCAGATAAGGGGTATTTTTGCGCACATGAAAGTTTCAAAGGTTTTCTCGAATGTTAAGCTCCCTCATTCCTCGAAGCTTCAGAATTAGTTGCTCCCCCTGCTTCTCCACCATAAACTTCAAACCCTGAGGTCAACTTAAAATGCCAATCTACACAATGCTTTCAACTTCAGTTGAAAAAAATATAATGACACTTTCAGAAAGTCAGCAATTAACAACCCTGGCGGCTTTCAGAAGGATGTTAACTTTGTTAACGAAGATATCCATGTTATAAAAATGCATTGGCTTAAGATCATCCAACGCTGTACCATTCTAGTAAGTCGGATTTTTCTTAGATCATATATCACTTTGGGGGGAGAAGTAGAAAAACACACAAAAAAAGTAGAACTTTAAAATCAAACAACTAGCTAAGTCAAAGCTGTATCACCAAGTAAGTACGTTTGAGTTTGAGGATAAGCAGAAATAGGATTAATTTGCACTTTTTAATAAATACAGACTTCCGTTACACACAGATAACATCCCTGAAGACCTACCTATCATATTCCAATCTCCTTGTAAGGTAAGTATTGTTCTTCTTGTACTCGTGAAGCTGATCTTCCTGGCGAATAAATTCCTGACGTAATTCTGCTAGTTGCTCTAGACCAAAAAGCAAAAATCAACATGAATACAGAAATAGAAGAAAAAAATGCCCAATGGTAGATATAGCTTTCAATATTGCTACATAAAACTTGAGCAAATTTTTAAGTTATTTCTTCTAGATATATTTTAAAGATACTTAAACTAACTTGAAAAAGATGCCAATTTACTCGTGTATGCCAGATGTCACTAACTGTAGAACAATTCTTCTGATACTATGCCAAAACCCCTGAATTTTTCTGTACCTTTTCATTCAGAAGGCTCACACAGTGCTATTTCACCTACCTGTTGGAAATCTCCTTAATTTCCTGAAAGAGTCTGTTATTCTGAGTAACACAAAAGTACTACTCGGTTACTTTAGGCACCATGGTCAAATATTCTTATTCTGCAGTAAGCGTGCAAAAGCAGGTACCTACACACTATCCCTACAGCCAATACGTATCTCCTGTCTCCACAATCGTTCTAGGAGTTCTTCTCCCTGCTCCTCAGGCTACAAATAACCATTGGGCTTCCTACTATTTTAAGTTGCAACTCCACAGATACGGGCAGAAACGCCAAGTATGTTGTCTGCAGGTATGTTCCAATTTTGGCATCGGCTGTTCCAGGTCACTCCGAAACCCATACAGCAGGATTACAGGCACTGTAATCACACCTGTATATAACAGCCTTGAGAAGTTTTCTGGACCTTTTCTAACCCAGCATAAGTATCACAACATTGCTGAGCCAGCCTATAATCAACTGTGTGTTTGGTCATGAAAACGATTCTAATATTTTGGAAGTAAGCAGGGCCAGAATGCACGTTCTTTCTGCGGTCAGCACAGGGAAGTCTACGAGAGCCAGCCCTACACTTATCCAGCCTAGGTTATAACCAAGTGTAATGAAATGTCACATTATGTGATGCTGGAACATCGCATAATATTTCAATTTCTGCAGTACCTAGGCAGTTAAAAAATACACAACTTCACAGTCTGCCAAATCACTGCTTGGCCGTAAATTCCTTACCCTTTAAACGATGTATGTCTGCCATTTGATAGGATATGTTGTTCTGCAGCTTGATCTGAAAGAAGAAATGCGTATATAAATAGAGATGACCAGCAGGTTAGGGAGGGTTCAGACTGAGAAGCCTCAGGTGTGTCTGTTTCCATGGCAGAGACAGTAGGTACAGGATTATCAGAACGACATATACAAAGTTCTTGTAAATCTAAGTAATGTATATTGAGTTATCCGTAAGTGGTATCACCCACATACGCCGTATTTAGGCTTTGCTAACAAGGACTTACATTTATTTCCAGAACATATTTCTATGAAAAAAGTAGATTCTATCAGGACTAACAGAAACACCCTGCGTTCTGATTCTGATACTGCAGGAGGAGACAGCGAATTCCCAATGTCAAAGCACAAGTGTATAAAAATAAACACTCAGCATCATTAGCAAAACCAGATTTTACCTAATGTATATTTAAAATAAATTTTTTATGTGATGCTACCCAATATTCATTAACACACAGTTTATTTTTAAGAGAGAATCTGACACCAGCAGACTTCCACAACAGCTTTTGATTTAGTATTTTTAGTAAGGAAAACTAGCAGTTAAACAAGAAATGCATGTCCACAAAGTCATTAAGTAACGGTGCTTTGTCTTGTTCTAACATAAAGACATACATAAAGACAAAAAATAGCAGAAATTAAAAGAGGTGCACATGTAGAACATACTGAGAAAGGGTGAAAAAAATCCACAACCGCCATGAGGCCCCCCTGACGCTGTGATTATTTTTCTTGTAGCTTCACGACTGGTGTGAGCAGTAACTCTAGAGAGGGTGCTGAAGGAGGGCTGTCATCCCTGGGTTGCAAGGTCAGAATTACCGCTCGGAAAACCAAAAGGGAGTAGGGGCATGCCGACGCTGGCGCGGGGCGGACACGCACAGGTATGTCGGTCCCACACAGGCTCAATGGCTGAGGCAGTTACCTACGTTTCCCACCAAAACAAACAAAAAAAAAGACACACGCCCTTACTTTAAGACTTGCTCCACCCACCTCCACCTTCCTTTTTATCAAATTACTCATTTCTTTAGAAACGTTTCACAGAATGTTTTTGTTTTTAAAAGCGGAACTCCAGCTCTGGGCTGCCTGATCCCATTTGTCCCATATGGGTTGAGGCAGGCATTTATAACCTTCAGGAACTGCGGCCGTACAAGAACTGCTGAAATCGTGATTTTCTGCAGAACACGGTGTACACGGAGGCACACATCCAACGGCTCCAGTCACATAATAGAGGCTCCTTCCGAAACGGAGGGCTCCGTCGAGAGCTTCGTTTGTGCCAGGCTGCAGTATCCTGGCTCATCCTGAGCAGCAAGGCACACACGGGCAGGGAGCAAAAGCCAAGAGGGTTTCTGGAGCGTGGCGAGGCACCACAGCCACGGCTCCGACTTATGGGGGGAACGCCCATAAGCCACATCAGAAGCTTTTCCCAAAAAAAGAAAGAATGGCAGATGATGCAATCTTTTGGTAACCTGAGAACCCTGACCATATTGCTCTGAAACACCATACAAAATAAAACCACCCGACAGGGACACTTAAGGAGCCTTCCCAGCAGGTTTAGAGCCACGCACTCCGGAACCGGTTACGTGTGCTCTGCCCACCAAGATATTTAAGGCTCTCCCGTTACAGATGCACAAAAGAACAATGCTGAGTTAAATGAAAGCCTGGGTTGGACTTGCTGTGCTTTATTCCAAGAGCACAAGCAACCCCTGTGGTGGGGACTTCACGCAGAAGCACAATACGAAAGCAGCTGCCAAGCTCTTCTGCTCCACCAGGCGCCCATCTTGCCAGCTCTCCATCGAACGGACACCGGGACAGGGGATAGGTACAAAGAGAGTGATTTGTCAAGCATTAACAAAAAATTATCTTTCCCTATTTTGCAAAGCCACTGGCAAGAACAACCAAATTTTTCTCCTGTCTTCCACTCCAACGCAGTTCCTTCCCAGAACCCAACAAATCTGCAAACAAAGGAGATCCTGGGAAGTAGCGGGTTCTGTTTTCAAACCTTCATCTATCAGAATTCACAATACTGAAAGCCTTCCCACTGCCTTGCTTCTGCTCATCCTATAAAGCGTTTGACTTGCAATGGGCTGGGGGAGGGCTGCCTGTCTGTTAACACGAGTCTGGTTTGAAGATAGCATCAGTTTTATCACGAAATCTTTCATTTTGGCAATTTTGAGTTTCAGAGGAAAGTGACAGAATTTATGTCCAAACCAGCTCAGCTGACAGCAAACGTCCCTCATCTGAAGGATGGAAAGGGAAGAAGCTTTTTTATGATTCATGGGATCTGTTCCACCCACACATGCAAAAAACCACACTCCACAAACCATGGCGCACGTCCAGTTCTTTCTGAGCTGTGTCCTCCTTGAGTCTAGACCTACTTGTACCGTTCATGTTTCTCAGCAGCTTCTCACACCCTTTCCAAAGCAGTTGGGATGCATAAAAGAAATTCTCCAACAAGCTCTGCACAGGAAAAACACATCAAAAATCCTGTGCATGCTGGAGCTACGTACGTGCAAGGCAACCTTCCAGTGCTGTCAATTGTTAACAGTCTCATCATATAATGAAATGCACTGAAAGGAAAAAAGTTATAAACACGCTGGAGCTTATCTCTATGTACAGCAGGACAGAACATAGGTGGTACTGCTTCCTGATGAAATAAGTGGTAAACTGTGAATGTCCACCCTTATTTCCCTGCGAGTCATTTCTTTAGGTAGCAACAACGCCCTCCGAACTGCCCGCCGGAGCAGCACGAGCAGGGCTCTGCACCCCTCTGTGCAGCCTCGTGAGCCTGGGCATTCCCAACGCATTGCTAGGGCACAGGCTGGAACAGCACAGGAAAGCTGTTCAGAAGTCTGTTTGCACGATGCCACGAGTCCATTGTCTTTCTACTATCATCAACTGCCTTTTTCAGAACAGGCAGTGCTATCATCAAGCAAGGAGTACAGCGCCAGAGAGGACCCTGTGCAGTGAGACTGGAAGCCGCACTCAACATCACCGCTGTAAAGCAACAGCTTTGCAAACTGAGGGGTTCCCAAGGAGTTCTGGCAACCAAGAACATAACCAGCTGCTCCCAAGGGTGTTTCACTCAACAGTTTCATCCTACAACGCACCATTTCTAGGCACCAGCTGAGGGGCAAGGCTGTATTACACACCTGGCATTGCCAGCAATAGCTTTGGAATGAGCGGCGTGCTCCTGAGAGCTGCCATAGCAAACAGAGCTGCGAACCCCGGCACACTGGATGGCTGCCATTTGGAAGCTCTCCACCACAAGTTCCTGCCATTCAGTCATTTTATTGAGCTTATTGCAAAGGGATGTGTAAAGAAAAAAAAAAAAAAAGGTATCCTCACGGTACGCTGCAAAAAAGCATGAAAACCTCAGGAAACTAATGCTAACGCTGCATGCATCACCTGCCCAGACACTGGGGCAACCACTGTCCCCGTTTGCCTCCCGAGAGAACTCTGGTTTGTTCTGAGGTCCAGCAGACCATCAGGAGCTCATCAAAATGAGCACAGGGTGATAGGAGAAAAGACTTCCCAAGAACTCAGGCTTTTTTTTTTTTTTTTTTTAAGCACAAGACACAAGGTCACACCATTACATTTGCTCATAAGAGCAAACAATATTCTGGTGCAGTGTGACTGGCTTGTTACGCATGCAGGGGGAGGGAGGAGGGAGACGAGGCTTTGGGCTTGACTACAGATAGCACTGAGCTAGGAGGAAGCTGCCTGCAGAAATTCAAGTTGCCTCAACACTGGGAAATGCACGCTTGATTTACGTGACCACGAGGCAAAGACCCTCTTATGGAGACAAAGGAGCGTGAAGCAGAATTGACACCATGATAACCACCAGAGAAGCATCTTTCAAACGAGTTTTCTGTGAAGTAAGCCTAGGTCTGTTGTGATCACTTGATACCCAGGGAATCACCAGAGCTGCTTTTCCATTATAGCTCCTGCATTTCACAAATGGACTAAGATTGTTGGTAAAAAGCAGTTTGTTCAGAGAACATCCCTGCCAAATTCTATTCCGAGAGAGGAAAAAAAATTGTCAGACAAGCCTTTTTTGGTCAGACATCCGAGGGGAGGAAAAAAATTTGTGAGACAAGCCTTTTTTGGTCAGACCCTTTATGCCTACTACTCACTATTTATTTTTTTGTAACAGACCTTTATTGTCTGAACCGGAGCTTTATTCTCTACTCTCTAAAGTGCAGCCACTTAAAGGTTTGGGGGTTTTTTTGAAAAAAATT